GAAATGCTCTCATATAAAGACGCTGAAATTTCAGTTTAAAATTGAATAGATGATAATGGGGATGGGGATTAAAATGGACCGAAACGATCGATACAAAATTATAAATTTGCCCGCGTTTCATTAGGGAGACTCTCATAATTTTATTAGTTTTTTCTTCTAAGCATTTATCCAAAAGCGTCCGCTTAATTTTTAAGTTTCATGGATAAACCGAAAAAATGTTTCCACACTAATAAAACTCTTTATTTCAACCTGAATATGTTGCACATCAGCTCAGCAAACGTACCCTAAGCATAATTTGCATACAACCGAAAAGAGGGCCCACTGCATCTGTATAAAACTGTATAATAAGTTACCAGCAAAGATTAGACAAGTCAAGGCTTGCTTTAAAAAGAAATAAAAATGCTTCTAAAAATTATAAATACTTTTTGAAGTCTTCGATCAAATTGTGACAAAAAATCTCACTTGCCTTTTGTTGTATGGGGCGCCGTTTTGATGCAAAAAAATTAATGTCCTCGTTTCTCGGAAAACGAATCATTTTCGGACATACTAATCACAAGCAAACTGTCATTGTTTTTTCATGCAGAAATTTGTTAAACTTATTTACTAACACCATGTATAAATAACATTAAATCCGCACTGATAAGTCGTTTGAAGCTGCTATGTACATGTTTATGGGGTAATTTTTTCGTGAGAAGTATCTGTTCGCTACAGTCGTGCTATAAACAACTTGCTCAACATTTACATTTGTACGAAAAGCTTTTGCCTGTTTGAATTACCAAAACGCGTTTCATTTCAAAGTTGACATTAAAAAATCGGATTTCATTACATCTACAATTTCTCAAGAAGGAAAGCGGCCATTCGTTTAAAAAGTCCGTCGAAATTTGTCTCGTTTTCTTAACCGTCTCTGCATAAATTGAGTAATAAATTGTCTGTGTTATTATGCACAATATTTTTCTTATTTCCATACAACTATTATTTTCAAGAGCTGTTAACTGTACAGAGTAAAATTTTACCATTTTTTGTTGAGTTCCTATTAGGAAACGGTTAAATCAAAAATTAACATAATAAATTTTGTATACATTGTATATAAAGCTTTAAAAAGTGGTTTCAATTCATTATCCAAATACCAATGCTAAACTTATATCGTCGTGTCGTGGAAATGATAAAATTTCACTTTGTTTCTGTTTAGTTGTTGTTTTAAGAAATTAATTTGCAACTTTACAACGGATGCGAGCCACAGACACGCGATTGTACAGTTCCAGGGTCTTAAAATGCAATTTCCCCCACACTTAATAAATTGTTTGCGATGTTATTATTAAATTAATTTACTAAACAGAATTATCTGGAAATTATTTGTCTTTTTAGGTTGACTATTAGTTGGTCAATAAGCACAAAAAGTTAGTTTTTAGTTTATTGACTTACGCGCTTTTTTAGAAAGATAATATTTTTTTTTGTTTCAGGACAATCATTTGCTACTACTTGTGCTATTGGACTTGAAATTTTGCTTAGGTAAGCTGACAATTATTTTTTTAAAAGATTTTTATATTTTGTTGTTGACAAATGTCTCGCTCAGATCCCCTCCCCTCATGCGTCTCTGTTTCGTTCAATAGAAACCAGGAGCAATAAATATTTCTTAATTCGGAAAATTTTTCCAACTGCTGGTTTGGTTGAGGACTTTTCGAGTTTATTATTATGTCACGTATTGTTTGCGCATTTTCCTCAACACTGCTTTCAACTCCTCCTCTGTCCATCCATCCAATCCTGTTCTCTTTAGCAGATAATACAATAGTTTATCATTTCTTTCCAGCTTTTCTCATGCACTTAATTATAAACATTTTATTTTTATATATGATCATTAAAAAATATATTTGTTTACAACATATTTGTTAGAATGCACCACAGTAGTTTGAAAGCAAATCATTGTTCATGTAATGCAAAAAAAATCCTTAACTTTCGATCTTGTGCATCATTTTTACAGTTTAAGTAATGTTTAAATTCGTTTAAAATTCTGCAGACTGTTTTTTTGGAAATAAGCTCGCACCAGTCAATTTTTATTTGTAAATGTATGTTTTTGTACCAAATTTATTAATGCAGGATGGTTCTGGTCAACTTTTTTTCAAACGGAAGCATCTATTTTGTATTTCAATTCTGAATTCTCTGTTGAATTGAAGTAGGTATGATTCGGGCACCATGTCCTATTGAATCATACTTAGAATTCAATGGAGAATTTAAAATTCTTCTTCAAAATATTTTGAATATGAATCGTCTTACATGAATAAAATTGGTACAAAAAATCATATTTACAAATAAAAATTGACTGTTCCAATAAACAGTCCTCTGAATTTTAAATGGATTTAGACCTTACTTCTGGGGCTCTTGTTCTGCTGCTTGTATTTAATATTTTTGACTAAATAATTTAAAAATAAACTCTGAGTTCTAGTCTGGGATTGCTGTGAGCGTTTTTTGCACTTGAAGCTATGAAAACTGCCCATCAATGTAATTAGATAAGAAAGAAGAATATTAAACATAAAAAAAACCCTCAATTAACTATATTCTCAATAAACAGTGAGTAATTAATCACGCTATGGGCAGTCATGATCCAATTAGTAGCAACTTACTCCAAGGCTGTACTCGTTCATTGTACTTTAGTAACGTAATTAATTTCAAAGGATTTCGAAGAATCCATTTTCCAGTACAATGAGAACGGTGGTTTAATCCAGGCAATTTTCCCTGCTCTAAAAATCGAACAATGCTAAGTTTAGGCTTTTTTGTGCTTGAACGAACTGCGATTTCCGATTAAAGAGCAAGAAACGAGCCCAGTTGGCATGAGTCCAAGGAGAAAGTTTTCAAAAGTAATTCGCTGAAAAAAGTGCCACTTGATCGATACTTTAAGCTTTCCGACTTGCCCAAGATACTTAAATGAGAATGTTGGAGATAAATTATTATGCCATGCGAAACTTTTAAATAGTTAAACAGGTCATGACTGAAAGTGGAAGGCCAGACCAACCTGAAAACCTCGATTTTAAGACGAGCGAAGAATCGAGACCAAATTATGTCAAAGAAAGGCACGATATTTCTATGTTATTTAAAAGAGATCCGAAGTGTCTCACGCGAACATGATTAATATTATTAAAAAGGGCAGCTTACCTGATTTAACCGTTTTCCTCAGTGACACGTTTTTAGTGCCGTCTTTATTGGCTGCTTCCTTTCCAACTGTCGTAGTCTTTTCCACAGCACTGTCTTCCCTTTTCAGAGCAGATTTGGGCCGGGCTTTCAACTCGTCTTCAGAATCCGCTTCATTTTCACTTCCACTGGGACTGATGAGGGAAACCATCGTGACAATTTCAGACGCAGTGTGAGCTGCATTTTTCCACTCTTGGCCGTCTACGGCGTGTGGAGAATGGTCTCCTTTGGAGGACCTGGATACTTTTTTTCCATTTTTCAACTTCCTCTTGGTAGCTAAAAACTTGCCCTTCTCGGGCTTAATGCTTGGTGCTGACGAAGATCTGACTAAAGGCGGTCTAAAATTGATTGCTGTTTCTTTCGAGGTTCCGTGAAATGCTGAATTGGTGCGCTTTTGGAATTTTTCCCGTCTGGTCTGTGCGGTCATTGGCCGTATAATCACGTTAATCCCATTTGAATCTTCGTCCTTTTCGCGTTTAGTTTCTTCATCTTTTACCACCTGTCGAGGTGTGTCGCTTTGGTCAAGCTTTTCCACCAAAGGAACCACCACTATTGTGTTGCTTCTAGAAAAATTTGGTCTCTTCTGGTTGACTTCTACGGCTTTAGGTGATTCTAACGTCTTTCTACTGTTACTCTTCCTGATCTGAAATGCCTTTGAAGTTTCAACATTTGACAAAAGCGGCTGGAGATACTTAGGTTTCGATCTCTCTAAACATTGCTGCCTACTGTCCATCAGCGACTCGAAACTATCTGAAGTTTGGCATTCGTTGTAGTCGTGTGTATTGTGCGCTAAAAAGATTTGCAAATTCGGTTTTGTTTCGGCTTTGTCATTTTCTTTGTCAACTGTTTCCGCTTTGTTCCTCAGATCATGTTTGGAGTTCAAAATTGAGTCCTTTTCCAGCGAGGGATGTCGCGCCAGTTTTACACTCGGCGCTCGCTTAATCTCCTTGCATTTTTTAATTATTACTTCCTCGTTCAAGGCAAATTTATCTGTTTTCTCACACCAGGCGATCTTGATAGGAGGAGGTTTATCGGTAGCGGTTCTCTCAAGTCGTTTGTTTCTGGCATTGAGGTAAACTTCCGGGCCTTGGTCAAACCACGGGTCTTTGAAGTCAGAAAAGTCTTCGGAAAACTGCTTTTTCAAGCTCTGGCGTTTTGCGTGAGGCGAGGGTGAGTCGCATATTAGGGACAGTTGTCGAAAGTTGGAGAGCTTGCCTGTGGTGGTCATGCTTAGACTGCGAACATACTAGAACGAAAGGGACCTAGAAGCAAATTAAGTACTGCTAACGTTGTTTAAAAGCTCGATAAAGTTCGAATTCTTACTCAATCAAGCCAAAGCGGAATTGAGGAAAGTTAGCATTCAATTACGTCTACTTACTTCTTTGCCGAGTTCGGTTTGTTTTCGCTACGGCCGCTAGTTTTTCCGTGCAGTTTCCTTCCGTAGTGAGTTTTTCATTCACTCAACTGGCGGCTGTTTTCTGGCACCGGCATCGCCAAATCTAACGAGGGAGAAAAGTTCAGCGCTTGGTTGCCAGGTCTTGGAAATCAAAGTGTTTTCTATATTTTGTGTGTTAATGTAAAACGGCTTTTTGTTTTGCTTGTTAACTCCAATGTATTTTCTAGCTTATGCAAGATTCAGTCCATTAGGCTTAAGACATTCATACTTCATTTTTTACATATTTCTGTAGTTCCTTTATTTCTTAGTTTCTGGTTTCGTCTCTGGTTTCATTTTATTGGTGCTGATTTTAGAACCATTCTGGAATTAAATGCACCCAACGTCCGTGTAGACGTGGGTTCGCAAGGCCTCACTTATTGAGCGACAGGACGTGAAAAACTTGGTATTTGAGGATTTTGTAACATGATCAACATTTGATCGTCATTTTAGCTCTTATATGTAGAAGGCGTGTACATTTTTCGTGCATGTTTGTACCACGTTTTTTTCCAAGGAAATGGCATTTTTCTATCATTTTTACGTAAAACAGGTATTATTAGTCGCTTCAAACCACCGTTTTGGAAATATTTTGTGGAAAGGAAAGGATTTCAGTAAAATGTAATTTTCAAATAATTATTATGTTAGGATTACCCGGTTTAAAAACATTTTTTGCATTTTGTTAATATCTTTCGGATGCAATTTTCCATTTTTAGAGCGTAATTTGCCAGGGTGTTTTTGGATTATTGCTCGAAAACATTTGAAACAATCATAATCAACTAACAACTATGCATTTTAAATATCATATTTTAATTTCATTGTTTTGCTTAACAGAATGCTGAGTTTAGAATCGTTTAAACTGTTTGTATACTTTTCTCGAAAATTAAACAAGATTCATAAGAGCCGAACGTTTCAAGATTTATATTATTATTTGCCGCGCCTAAAAGAAAAAATGCAATATTTTAAGCAATAAAACAGCTTTTCCGAAATGGAAACGACTAGATTTTCTTTAAGGACCTGGATATTTCGTGCAATATATGACCTAGTCTGACATTGGACAAGGGATTCCCAATATTCCAAGAGTAATGGAATTTTATCTGTTCTTATCCGACTTGTTCCGATTAAAAGATCGTATCTGTTTTATCACAATAAAATTATTTTTACGTTTCCTTAATATATTGAATTACATTTAATTCCCCAGCTGTTTCAACTCAAATCGATTGCATATCGATTATTTTGTTGCTAAATAATCAATCAATACGGTTTGTTGCTCAACCATCGGTATACATCTGGCAAGTGCTTTAGACTGTTATTTCCTACATACAGACAAACTTTAGTGAACAAAAATAATACATTACATACAGGGTGAGTCATTTTATAGGTCAAACTTATAAATTACGAGAAGGAATGAACTTAACATTATGAAATCGGAGAATTCGAAAAGAATCATGCGATTTTGCATCCTAACTTGCCATTTACCTTGAGTAATTTGGTTAATTATGAAGTTAAATATTGTTCGCTTAACCGGTATTCTTTGTATAAAAATTCTAAACTCGCATATTTTATAAATATTCCCAATTATATCGAGTGCTTCAGAGAAGTTGCAGCGCAGAAAACACCTTTCGGTTTTGAAAGTTGCCTTTCTGCCTGAAAGAATAATGTTAAATGAACCAACCAAGTAAACCATGAAACTCAGGTTTTTACATCGAGTTGTGACACAGAGAAGGAGAAGAATATAGTTTAAGATCAATAAGCGTGAAACTTTTGGAAATTGGGCAAAGTTCAAGTGCATTTAAAAAAAAATAAAATCGTTTTGCATAACTGCGTTGATTGTTTTTTTTTTGGTGAAGATGTTTAGATTTTTGTGCGATAATAAAAAATTCGCGTTATGTGAAAAATCAAATATTTTACCATGGGTTTGTTTGGGGGTTTCAGTGGCAACGGCGCCCCAAACAAAAACAATGTGTTGTTCACCCTCTGCTCACAAAACTTTGACTGAAACCGCGAACGAACACGTTCCGCCACATGTTTTCCATCGGCCGTCGCTCGACATCATTTATTATTGATTATTACTTTCGCAACTTCCTCGTATTTTGATTTATTTTTTGTTCATGTCCAAACTCATCAAGGTTGGCCCAATTCGAGATCCATCCTTTCCGACTCTTACATGCTTTCACAGTTTTCTGCGCTTCATTCTGCTTCAGATTGACCAGCACAAACTGCCAACATTTCCCTATCGATGGATCACTTTCTAAAAGGGCAATTTAGTTCTCTTGGAATGATGTAAAACTGAGCGTTCTTGCTCATTTTTCTTCCGAGAAATGAGCAAAAACGGGACGGCAAACATGATCTCTGAAATTCTGTAATTTCCTACTTTCAATTTCAAAACCCAATGCATCTCAAAACATGCACCTGCAGCATCTAAAAATCTCATCTCTTCTAAGAGTTTTTGTTTCTTTGCGGTTACTTGCAGATTGAAAACTTTGCATTAAGCAAATATTAAAAGGTACGTGATCTAAATCACACATTCCTTGCTTGCAATTAACGTCTAAGTTTTAAATTAGTTTGTTAATTAAAAAATAATTTAATTTTACTAATTTTTGCTCCCAAATGTAGTAGAGGAGTTACGGAATTATCTGAGTATACGGAATTTTTTGATTTTATACAAAACCAAGGACTTGTGGGTTTTTCCTGCATATTAATTCACTCACCTGTATTAAAATGTGCAGTTGATCGAGGTAAAATGTTACCTCGTTTTGCATGTTGTTGAACATAGCGCTGGATAGATTTTAAAATAGGACACAAAATCTTATGAATATTATATTAAACAAATATAAATTTCAGTATTTTTAGGCTCAATTGTTTTATGTAGAATGGGAGAATTTCAAGTTGATTCTTGTCTTAGAGATGAAGTTACGATTCTTTGAAGGTGAGCATGCACTTGATAGGAATCAGCTTTTTGGCTCAATATTTACAAATTCGGCAAAAATCAGAATTTTCTGCGATTTCATCCCAAAATTTCAGGGTTTTCAGAGAAAAGTGTCTTCTATATCAAACAATAATTTCAAGTTGCTACTTGCTTTACAGTAGGAGTTACGATTTTTAAAGGCGAGTGTGCCATTTATAGAAACCCTTGATTTTTAACCCAATATTCACAAGGTTGGACAAAGTCAGTATTCTGTAGGATTTCAGTAAAAATATCAGTATTTTTAAGGTCGATTGTTTTATGTCGAATGGGAGAATTTCAATTTGATACTTGTTTAAGATTTGGAGTTACGATTCTTTGAAGGCGAGCATGCACCTGATAGAAATCAGCTTTTTGGCCCAATATTGACAAATCCAGCAAACATTAGAATTTGGTGCGATTTTACACAAAATTTTAGGGTCTTCAGAGAAAAGTGTTTTCTATAGCAAACAATACTTTCAAGTTGCTACTTGCTTTGCAGTAGGAGTTACGATTTTTTAAAGGCGAGTGTGCCGTTGATAGAAACTCTTGATTTTCAATCCAATATTCACAAATTTGGACAAAATCAGGATTTTGAAGGATTTCAGTAAAAATTTCAGGATTTTTAGGGTCAGTTGTTTTATGTAGAATGGGAGAATTTCAAGTTGATACTTGTCTTAGATTTGGAGCTACGATTCTTTAAATGCGAGCATGCACTTGATTGGAATCAGGTTTTTGCCTCAATATTTACAAATTCGGCAAAAATAAAATTTTTGTGCGATTTCACCCAAAATTTCGGGGTTGTCAGAGAAAAGTATCTTATATAGCAAACAATGATTTCAAGTAGCTACTTGCTTTACAGTAGGAGTTACGATTTTTTAAAGGCGAGTGTGCCGTTGATAGAAACCCTTGATTTTTGACCCAATATTCACAAAGTTGGACAAAATTTGTAGGATTTCAGTAAAAATTTCAGTATTTTGAGGCCCAATTGTTTTATGTAGAATGGGATAATTTCAAGTTGATACTTGCCTTAGATTTGAAGTTACGATTTTTTGAAGGAGATCTGATTTCTTTTGAAAATTAAACCGAAGGCGTTGTTAGTCTCTCCTTTAAAATATGTGTTTTTGGACTGACTGGTTTTGCGATGTCTCTTCATCGGAAATATTCAGTGTAAGAGTTCCAATGCTTCTTGTTTTTGTCTTATGATGCTTGTAATCACATGATAATTCCATTAAATTAATAAAAACTAAGTAATACAATTAAGTTTTTGTTCCAATTTCTATTTCGTTCTTCTTTGCGGATGCACAAGACCTTTTCGTTTATATCACCAGGTTTCATTTGTGCAGTTATAATGCAAATTTTCAATTTTCTTGAATAAAGTCCAATTTTAATCCAAATGAGGGCTCCTTAGAGCACCAATCTAGCTGAATCTCGGTTCTCGGTTATAAATCGGGCATTTTTTTTTGCTTATCGATCTGGCGTACTAATGTAGGGTTTAACCGGCTTGCGACATATCCAGGAAACTTTCACGATTGGAAAACTTTTTACACGAATAACAAAAATGTTGAGGCATAGCGGACGTATCGACTTAATATGCATAGAGATGATTTTTTCGATAAAAATCGAATCGATGGTCTGGATTAATTTGCATTCGTATTATAAGTTTTCGTTCGGGCAACGTGCGGAAAATCAGTTTGAGGGTGTTTTAGAGGATTTCGCTGATCAGGAATTGTATTTTTAAGTTTGAGAATATCTTCATCAACTTTACTAGCTGGAAAAGTACAATTTTAAGTCACTTTTATTTAAGTTAACTGCTGAGTTTCTCGGGCTTTTAGGCCTTCTGGAAAGTAATTTCCTTTTTGCGAATACTCACCAGTTTCAAGCAATGATAGCGAAAGCCTAACTCTTTCGATTAATAATAATAATTTTATTGAGAACGCATGATAGGGAAGTTGAATTTTACATAAATTAAGTAACTTCTGTAACCATATTAACTCCGCCGTAAATTTTGTGAACGGAATCTTTGAAAAGGCCGCAAATATTCCAATGGAGTAGCCGAGGTGATCCAGGTTAATAAAACGGAAATAAAGCATCTGTCTTTCGCCACCAGACGACCCTCGAGATTAATAGAATGAAATAAGAAAACGTTCTTGAATTAAGGGATCTTTTTTTCGTCCTGATTTACCGACCTATAGATATGTCTCTGTGTAAAATTTAACGCCGCTTTTCGCTGATCTGAATAGGTCCAGATAATAACATTGAAAATTGTAGAAAGGTCGAAAGTTTAAGTTTCAATTTTTCCCTGTTCAGAATTATGAGTAGGTTATAACGGCTTTAATCTGGGAATTATTGAGTAATGGAAAATGTTTCAGTATATAGGACAGGATGAATGTTCCCGGACAGACATACGCATGTCTTGAAGTTTACGCATGAATGGTGCAAATTAATATTTTACTTATTAATCAGCTGTGTAAATAATATAAATCGTATGAACTGCTTTAAGATGCTTGTAAGTAATTCATGAAATCCTTTGTTTCAGTCTGAATTTGAAATATGTCGAAGTACGCGGAGCTAAAGAAACGTTACGATTCAATGGAAAATGTGCTCCAATATATCAGCCAACGTTCCATTGCACTGGAAGACGAGGCAAAGAAGAGAAACAACGCCATTCTGAAGGAGGTAAAATCATATTTTTATTATTCGTATCATACGGGACTGTTAAACAAGCACAACAATGGCACTTTCAATAGAAGTGAGACTTAGAGTTAATGTTTTTGTAAGAACGTTGGTGTACGATTTGGTTGAAGGTATGCCAAATCGTTTACGTGCTTTTCCTGTTCGTGCCTGGGCTTTTCCAGAATGATTTTGTGAGGAGGTCGATTGTCCGTACATATTTGATACCTTAAAAATGGAACTATTGATAAACGTTTCTGCAATTTTTTTTGCCTGCAAAAAACTGTAAAGATGATCGAAAATTGACATGTTTATATTTAATTTACACAAAACCTACAATAAACATTTATACTTTAAATGACTTTAAATGAATCGAATCATTATTGTAAAGTAATTATTGATTTTGAAACATTTTGTTGCATAAAATGTTGCGTAAACTCGATTTTCCAGTTTTACTGGTATATCAACAGTCGATAATACGGATCCTGATTTTTGAATAAATCAATTTAAACTGGTTTGGACGCAAAAACACTCTCAACTTGTCGATTGATCAGTTGTTGAAAAATACAGCTTTCAAATTTATGAAAAAATAAAAATGGTTTCGAGTGGAGCATTCAAAATTGCATTTCTTTGTTCATTTCGTATCTGTTGTAGTTTCGAAGGTCGCTGTACGAAAAAGACTCACCCTGTATATAGTTACTACTATACAGGGTTGCTCATTAGTGCGTCAAAGTGCGATTTCATAGTAATTATGAATTTTAGAAGGAAATGTTTCCTGCAAGAGTTTTTCAGATGGCAAAATGTTCATATTTTTCCGAATAATTTGAAAACCGTAAGCCCGGTATATTTTTATGGCGTATTATATTTTATGCATTTTACTGATGGCAATAATCGAACTGTATTGATAATCATAATCGAAACTCAATTGATTAATCGAGTTAATTATAGCCATTGCTTGATGCCCTTAAAACGGGTTAATACAAACAACCGTAGAAACGTATATTTTAAACTAGTATTAATTTATTTGTTAATCATTAGTGTTTGACTTTAGCGGGCCGTAAAATCATTGATCTGTTATTAAAGTTTTCTTTTCTTTACCTGATTTTAAAATTGAATTGTTGAAACGTATTTAAGATGGTTTGTTCTGAAATGAAATCCTTGTATGTACATTCATTACATCAGTTGATAATGAATGAAAGTGATGAATGTTACAGTAATAAATTATTTGAAAATGTGCAAAAATCTGATTTTCAATAACGAAAAAACATGGGTTAATACTTAATTAATTGTATGCTTAATGTTCGGTTTGCGATAGGCCCAATTTATCCAATGGCAACCGGACATTGAACTTCGGATTATTTAAGTATAAATCCATGTTTTCCCATTAATTGAATGAACGTTTTTTGCAAATCCAAATAATTGATTACCCGTAAACATCGGCATCATTTTTGCTCCCAATTTCCCGGACACTTTAAATGGTACTTCTCTTTTTGCAGCGTTCTCCAATTCGGACTGGCATTTTTGAATTTAAAGCGATTTCTTTTTAAAAAGTTTAAATACGAAATTGTGTTAAAATCTTTGAAAAAATGATTGCACACTGAATTTATGAATATATTGTTTACCTATTTTTTGTCGAGCAAAAAACCTCAGCCTGTGCACTTTTAC